CGTAAAATCGATTGCAATCGGATATTGATCTACTAATTTTTATCAAAAGTCACATCAATTTGCAAACAGCGATAAATCTGCAAGTGATTCTTCATACCTTTTTAATTGACGATAAGTTACTCCACGATTATTTAATGCAAATGCATCATTTGGATTAATTTCTAATGACTTATTTAAATCTGCGAGTGATTCTCTATATCTATTCATCATTCGATAAGTTTATCCACGCATCTGCATTATTTAGATCAATTTCTAACGACTTATTTAAATCTGCAAGTGATTCTTCATATTTATATAACATATAATGAGTTACTCCACGATTACTTAATGCAAATGCATCATTTGGTTCAATCTCTAACGACTTATTTAAATCTGCAAGTGATTCTTTATATTTATCTAACATAAAATGAGTTACTCCACGATTTCTTAATGTAAATGGATCATTCGGTTCAATCTCTAATGACTTATTTAAATCTGCAAGTGATTCTTCATATCTATTCATCACTCAATAAATTTCTCCACGATTTCTTAATGCAAATGCATTATTTGGTTCAATCTCTAACGATTTATTCAAATCTGCAAGCGATTTTCTATATTTTTTTAATATACGATAAATTTCTCCACGACTTCTTAATGTCTTTGCATTTTTAGATTCAATAGTTAATGATTTATTTAAATCTGCAAGCGATTCATCATATCTTTCTAAGATACGATAAGTTTCTCCACGATTTTCTAATGCGAATGCATTATTTGGTTCAATCTCTAACGATTTATTTAAATCAGTAAATGATTCTTCATACCTATACATGTCACGAAATATAATGCTTCTATAAATGATTTTAAGGGCCTTAATTGAATTGCTATATCTAAATCATCTTTAGCCTTTGAATACATTTTAAGTTTATAAGATGCAAACGCTCTTCTACATCGAATTGAATAGCTTTTTGGATATAATTGTAAAACTTGTGTTAACCACATAATAACTGCTTCATAATCTCCTTGTAGGTCCGCTTTAGCTGCCTTGTTAAAAGCCGGTAGCATAATTTTTGGTTGAACCTTTTGAAAAATGGGTGTGGAAAACTTTGGAAGTATAGAACCTTGAAATATTTTATGCTTATTAAATTTTAAAAATAAATTGTCTTCTACCATATAAATTTTATTCGGCAATATTTGCCGTTCTTCAGATAACTTATTAAAATAACCTTCTTGTTCTAATTTTTAAAAAGACCTTCTAATATTTTGTTTTTTGGAAGGTTATAAGTTGAATTTAGTTCAATTCATTTCTGCAAAAAGGGCACTCAAATGGTCTGTTTTCAATTGCTATTGTTTCTTTCCATTTATTAATAGCGTAACAACTAATAGAATGTCCACATGTTAAAATTAAAAAATCACCAGTTATTTGCTTAGTAATTGGGCAAGTAAGTTCGTCTGCGATGATATTTATTAATTTTCTATCACTTTTTATTTCCGAATTCTCTTTAAGTTTCATAAATTTGAGATTTAATTGAAGTTTTTGATCTACGTCATGAATAATTTTTTCTAAAATTTGTTGAGAAGTTGTTGACAATGACTCCTTGTATTTGTTGATATCGTCTTTTACTATATCATTAAACAATTCTGGTTTTTGATAAGATAGTGATAAAAGTAATTCTAAAGATTTAAAACAAATATAATTGCATTTAGAATTTTGTAATGATTCTAAAGCTAAATAATAGCAAAGAGCTAAACTAACGACTTGAGTTGTTTTTTGGCTTAAGTGGAGAGTAAGGTCTAAAGTTCCAAACCATAAAGAATTTGGAGGTGCCGTTGGTTCTTTTTTTGTCCATAAATTCATAAATTCAAGAATTTCATTTTGATTATTTAAAATTTCATTTTGAGCTTTTTGATTAATACTTAAATCAAAAATACATTGCCAAAGTAATTCAAGAAGATAAGTTTCATTATAGAATCGTAATTTATTGTAATCCTCATCTTTAGCCAAATTCTCTAGCAAATAATGAATTGATAAAAGTTCACGCCACGTTGGATACCAATAAGTAATAGGATATTTGAATTTAAAGACTTGAGCAAGGTTTGGCAAAACTTCAGCAATGCCAAGTGCTCCTGAAAAATTTCCTGCTGCAGCTCCAACCGCTTTTGGCGAAATTCGAATAAATGCCAAAAGAAAATCTTTAATGCGACGTAAAATTTCATCCATGCATGTTTCATCATCACGCATGCTATGTAAGGTATCACGTAAATGCATTAATAAAAAATCAATATTATAATTTTGAAAATGCATATAAATATTATTATTATTGGGCATTTCTTTAGATTTTCCTTTTGACTTAAAACTATTACCAACACCTTGTCTAAAAGCGTTTGTCATCCTATGATGAAAATCAACAAAGTCGCTTAAATGTATATAGAGATACTCACGGATTTCATATCCTAGAACGACAGGAGAATAGCACACTTTTTCTAAAGCTGACATCCAAGTTCTTAGATGAATTTCAAGACGTATCATAGTTTTTTCTAAATGAATTTCAAAAGATGATGCATCACTAAGTAATTTAAGTGCTTTAATCAATATTTCTTCTGGCAATTCTATTTCAAAATCTTCAACTAGCTGCTTAAATCCAATTAAATTATCCAATTTACTAAAATCTTTTGCAAACTCTTCGGCATGGTCAATAGCGGTAGATTTTGAACTTTTTATGTTTGACCTAGAAATGCTGTCATAGTTTAATAATGAACTTGAGGTGGGAATGTTGTCCATTTTCAATTAATTAATTAAATTATTAATGAAGCTGTTTTTAAATAATAGTTATTGACAAGCCCATCCCGAAGGAAGTCATTTTATAGCTTAAAGTATTCAGCTGTAACATCAATAATTACACAAATTTTATGTGCTCCATAAAAAAACTTGCGGTCCCATGATTGTCTACGCTAAATTTCATTGGTTAAAAATAAACCCGTCAATATATTTCTCTATTAGAAATACAACTTTTGACATTAAGATTAAAGTGGATATTAGGACTACGTTAATGAAGGCATTATAAAATTTCGCAAGGAATGTATTTTATCACATATTAATTGGTGACACATGAATTAGTAGCACGGGATTAGGAGCGGATTCGTGTTGCATGATTGATCTTGTGATATAAATAGAGAACAGTTTCATTAGTTATATTTTAGTAGTCTTAGAACTTGAATAAAGAAACGGTTAAACCATAAACTGTGTGTTAATATGTGGTATTCATTTGGGTGGAAGATACATCAGTCATCGTAAAGTGAATTCTACTTGTGAATTCAAATAAGAGAAGTGTATAAGTACACACTAGACCCGTTAACCATTCGTCGCATATATTTGTATGACCAATCAACAATATATGGGGCAGCGTCAACTAAAACAAAGCTTATGGCATTTTTTGCAAAAATGGGTTAACTATACCATCATACGTAGTAGTGCAGATGTATTTAACTGTTAATAATGCCTGTCGTACTATTGCAACACACGGAGTAATGCTGTTTAATGTAATATATGCCGTACGTACGTCGTAATAAAGTATACTGCCAAACCCGGTATATGGTTTAAAATTACTATACTTATAGATTTTTTATCGATTTTAACAGTTTTGATAGGATTGGTTTTGACGACTCCATGAAAGTTATTTCCCGCTAACAAATTTCCCTGACTCCGATATGCCGACATGCTATTTCATCTATAGCTCATTTTTCAATAAGACATATATTCGATATTACATGTTCTTTACAATCCTTTTCTTAAATAAGACACTTTCTCTACATATAATTCTAATTAACACTAACTTTACAGCCGTTTTCAAAATTTTGTGGAAAGATGTAGATGGAGAATTCACGATATTTCCCAGATTTCCAGAGTTTTCAAGACCAGGATTTTTTAATATTTACTAAGCAGAATTTTCACATTCCTCAATTCTCAACATGGGTATATGGAAATCGTTTTCCACATCTTTTTGAATACAGCCGTAAATCAGGCTAAATTGGAAAATTTTACGTCGAGGAAATAATTGTCGAGGAAATAATTGTCGGGGAAATATCCTGTCTAAGAAAGGGTTGTTGAAAACATGTAATGTCAAATATATATTCGGAATGGTAAAAAAAAAACAGGTTAAGCTGTTTTTTTGTTATTTTTAAATCGAAAATATTGCCTCTAATCGGTTAATTTTAATTTTAGCCGAGAAATTTTTTTTTTTAAAAAAAAAGACGGTGCTATATATATTCAAATTTAATCGGATATTTTATAAAGAAAAAAATTTTATTTAATCGCTTTAATTTTTACATTTCTAATGTGAATTTGCTTATCGGCCAATACAACCTTTCATTTAATATTAATTTTATATTTTTTGGTAATGAAAGTTTAATGTTTACAATTTACCACTATTTAAAATCTCATTGAATAAGTTTTTGGAATGAATTGTTTAAAAACTAGAGCACTGCTTTTGAGCTTTTAATAAATCTTCTTTATTTCTTTAAAGTTTTTTACATTTTAATAAATGACTTTTTATTGGTTAACTCAGTCTTCCTCGCAATAATTACATTTTTTTGGAGTGTCGTTCGATCATGTTTATAAGGCTCAGCAACTTTGTATAGTTTAACTATTTCTTTTAACGGGGGCTTTCACGAACATGAGGCATTGTTTGTAAAATTTTTTTATTCTATTTTTTTGTTTTTTAGTAATCATAATTTAATATACAGTTTAATTACACAATCGGATCCAGGGATGGCATGTTACGATATTGGACATTTGGACAATTTGGACAATGTCCAATTGTCCAAATAATTTGAATGGACATAGTAACTTTTTTATTGGACATTAAAAAAAAAATTAATTTAAACTTGGCCTAAATTAAACTTAATTCGGGCCAATATTCACTGATACAAATATCTCTAATTTACAGTATATTTAAAAGTATAATAATAATAATAATAATAAAAAATATGCATGCGTACGTACGTATTCACACTATAAATTCTATTTTACTGCAACATATATACATATATATATTTGGTATTGTCCTAGCAAAAATGATTAATCAAATAGACAACAGTTGATTTGATTTTTAATGGATAGGATTTCATTGTACTACCAATAGTACTTTGTACTCCATTGTGACACATTTTAAAAGTAAATTTCTAAAAATTTTAAAAATTAATTCTGTTTTAAGCAACTTTATATTGTTTGTTAGGTATTTGGCTCTGCAGAAAAAAGTTTAATAAATTTAAATAGCATTTTTGATTTTTTAGAATTCTGAATATTTAGTTTAGGCTAATTTTACATAGTACTTACTAGTTATCTTATAGAATATTTTTACTTATAAATTTTTTTTATTAATAAATTTATTTAAAAAATTTATAAAAATTGTAAAGATAAGTTTGCTAAGTTTAATTATAAATTTTTTTTAATATTAAACTAATATATAAAAAATAATTTAATTTTAAAGTTTTTACTAGTAAATACTATATAAAGATTATTTTAAATTTTATATCAAAAAATAGGTATGATTTTTTTTAAATTTTAAAGTAATATAACTTAACTTAATATTAATTAAATTTTATAATTAGAATTAGATAGTTATTATTTATAATTTTTATTAAAAAATTTAAAAATTTATTTAATAAAAAAATTTTTTATCGCTCTTTTCGATTTAGTTGGATCAGCAAATTTTTGCAATTGTTTTTTTGAGTTTGTGAGTCCCATGAATCCTGTAAATTCATGAGTCCGCATATATGCATATATCCTGCATGTATAGTAATTATCATAATTATTTGCAATTGTTAGTACTAAATAAGGCCAATAATTATATATAACTAGAGTATAATGATAAAGTTTTTATCATATTATAATATGTCTTTACCAAAATATCACGAATATGAAATTGGCGCCTGCTACAGTTGCCTAAAATGTCTTTTTTGCTTTAAAGACTTAAAAAATAATTCTTGTTCATATGATTTAAAATTAAAACCATTCCATAATAATAAGGTTCGATTTATATGAGGAAAACAAATTCATAACTGATGTTATAAAATTTCTAAAACTCGCTTAGCTCAAATTAATTGGTTAAAAAAGCGAAGCAAATTTTTTGGCTATAATAGTAACTTTAATGAAAACTTTGATCTTATACTTTGCTCAGCCTGTAATTCAAGATTTGATCAGGCTAAAAAAGTAAACAGCTCAAATGAAACTAATAAAATAAACCAAGACAGTATAATTGACCAAGACTAAAAAAATCATAATATAATCAGCCATGATGACCATGACATAGTCGATCATGATATAATTAAAATACAAGTAATTATAACATTAACCATGACTATAATACAAGTGACTATGATATTAACCACAACTATAATACAAGCGACAATTATAATATTAGCCATGACCATAATACAAGCGACTATGATAATATTGACCATGATACAAGCAATCATAACTATTATGATAAAACAGAACTAACACAATCAAAGACAAATCAAGCAGTTAATTTGATTGAGTTAAAGGTAAAATTTATTATTGATACAAAAAAAGCTAGTTCTATAGGAAAGTGGTTTATATTTAAGGAGGAAGAAATTAATAATTTTTACCTGTTTCAATCGAGTTTAAATAACCATATACGAAAGTGTTTAGATCTTTGATATATTGACTATGATGATTATGAAGTAACTTATAAAATAAATGGTCAAGGACAGGCTATGAGTATAAATGATAAAGATAATTTTTTAAATTTTATAGAAGAATGTAAAGAACCTGATAATTTGGCAAACCGGATATATATCTATACTGTTCTAAAAGATCCAGAACAATTTTGTAAAAGAAAATCTGAAGTATATATATATTATTATATACTGCATTATTTTATTCCATATTTTAATTATATTAATAAATATTCTTTTATTTAAAATACCAGTAATGACAAAAATATTAAAAAAAAAATTAAAACCAAATTATACTCCTAAAAAATTAGATTTAAATGAAGACAAATATAATCAAGCTCAAGTTATTATAGAACTATGAAATAAATATAAGTGTTCAAGCATGTTACACCATGTTATATTGAAGATGAGCACCATTTCCAATTAAATGCAGCTCACTTAATATTATGGGCTCGCAATATAGTATGTATATAAAATATACTAAAATAAATTAATTGCTTTTACATTAAATATTTATTACTGAATGTTTTAATTTCGACCAGTGTGAATTATAGAATTTTAAATTAAAATACTAACCAATTGTAATAGTACAAATTCTGAAAATCAGTTTTTTGTACAACTTCTTTTCATTATATCAAGAGTAATTATTCCATCTAATGATAATGCTGATAAAATAGTGTATCATTTACCTTATAAAAAAATACAAGTTTTGCATGCTCTTGTATTAGCTAATGCATATCCATAGTAACGTGTAAGACTTCATTCATCTTTTGTACTCTTATCCAGAAAAATTAATTGTTCTGGACTATAATTCATTCCGATCTTGGCAATAAATGCACAACAGATAATTTCATTTCTTTCATATGCTGCCCTTTGCAATTTAAATAATATTAGTTAAAGTAATATATGTATATATAAACAATTAAAAAAAAAAAAAAAAAAAATCACTCTTTCCGATGATCACTAAAACCAAAATTTCTTAAACAATTTTTGTAAAAACAGTAACTAGTAAGTAATGGAGAGCGTAAAACTGGAATCCATAAGTTAGCAGTTGTTATTTAGAGGTAGTTCTTATATGCTACC